GTTGGGGGGCTCCTCCTGAAGTCCACTGTCATCTCCACAGTGTTGAGCTTGTTTAGCTCCAGGTTGTTCTGACCACACCAGAGGACCAGCTGTTCAACCTCCCGTCTGTATGCAGACTCATCACCGTCCCTGATGAGGCCGATGACCGTTGTGTCGTCTGCAAACTTCAGGAGTTTAACAGACGGGTCCTCTGAGGTGCAGTCGTTTGTGTAGAGGGAGAAGAGCAGTGGGGAGAGCACACATCCCTGGGGGGCGCCAGTGCTGATAGTCCGGGTGCTGGATGTGATTTTTCCCAGCCTCACCTGCTGCGTCCTGTCAGTCAGGAAGTTTGTGACCCACTGACAGGTGGAGGCTGGCACAGTGAGCTGGGAGAGTTTGGGTTGGAGTATTGCTGGGATGATGGTGTTGAACGCAGAGCTGAAGTCCACAAACAGAACCCTTGCATACGACGCTGGGGAGTCGAGGTGTTGCAGCATGTAGTGCAGTCCCATTGTGGCAAACCAGGGGGAAAAGCCGAGCCGACACAGTACAGGAGGCGGATCCCCAAGCTCAGGTTGGGGGAGGTTATAGAGGGAGTAGGCAGTGTTCACACCTGCAGCCCATGAGCTAATTACAATGAGCATATATTCCCAGGGCTGTGAAGCAGCAGCGCCAGACAGACTGGGCAGAAGAATACGAGGATCTCCTGAACCTCTGGAGAGGAGCTTCAGCAGACCGGAGGTAATTAAGCGGACTCACCTCTCTCCTCTGCTCTGCCCAAACAGGACGGAGGAATCATCTCACACTGGGTGTAGACTGAAGGCCAAAGACCCCGACCGGGAGGAATCTTTTGTTGAGTTTGACCCTATCTCGCTTTACCCTACCCTGTTTATTGAAGGACACTTTATGTTACATGGCTACTGTCGCTGAGTCACCTGTTTTATCCCTGAATCTTGCCTCCATGTCCCCCGGGTTGCCACACCATACTGACTGCATCATCCACCGACCTATTAGTACGGTAGGCAAACTGCAGGGGGTCCAGCAGGGGCCCTGTTATGTTCTTCAGATGGGTCAACACCAGTCTCTCAAAGGACTTCATGACCACAGACGTCAGGGCGACGGGCCTGTAGTCATTTAATCCTGTGATGGAGGTTTTCTTGGGGACCGGGATGATCGTCGAGTGTTTGAAGCATGAGGGGACTTCACACAGCTCCAGTGATCGGTTGAAGATCTGCGTGAAGATGGGCGCCAGCTGGTCAGCACAGACTTTCAGGCAGGAGGGTGAGAGACCGTCTGGGCCCACAGCCTTCCTGATCTTCTGTCTGTGAAAGAGCCGACTCACATCCTCTTCACAGATCCTCAGTGCCGGTGGGGGGTCGTTTGGGAGAGGTGAGGAGGAGGCAAGGGGTGTGGGTGGTTGTTTGATGACGGGGCAGTTGGGGGGTGTTAAAGTGGACTGATCAAACCTGCAGTAGAAAACATTCAGGTCGTCAGCCAGTTGGTGATTCTTCTCAGTGGAGGGGGGAAGGGTGGTCTCCTGTAGTTGGTGAGTACTTGCAGGCCTCTCACACTGATGAGGGGTCGTTGGCTGAAAACTTTTTTCCCAGCTTTTCAGTGTAGCTCCTCTTAGCTACCTTGATCGCCCTCGTCAGTGTGTTTCTGGCCTGGTTGTACAGAATCCTTTCACCACTTCTGTAGGGCTCTTTTTTAGCCCAACGAAGGTCCCTTTTTCAGTAAACCAGGGTTTATTGTTGTTATACGTGCAGAAGGTTTTAGTCGGCGCACATATGTCCTCACAAAAACTGATGTACGATGTCTCTTCTGTGTTTATATATTGTGTTTTTTTTTTTTACATCTGGTAATTCTTTAAATTGACAGATTAATATTGTAAATGTGCAGCAACTTGATTTTGGTTTTATGCACTTGGGTTAGGGTATGGGCATTATTTCTTAGTTATTGTACATGAAAACTATATTTTAATGTGAGTAATTAGGTACTTTCTTTGCATGCAACAAAAAAAAGAAATTTAAAAATAATTTTTATCTGTCTCATACAATACATTCATGATATTTGATTTGCATATTCAATCAAGCATAGTAACCATTCTGCTCTGCTAAAAGTACCTCTTCTTCTTCAACAGAATTAGTTTAGTGTTTCCTGTGGCTTAGTTGAAGAAAAAAAGTAATTTCTGTGTGTGTGCACTGCCTAGGAAGTAGTAGTTGCAATTTTAATTTTAATTTTAATAACTCTTATATCCTACTTATATAAGTTATAGTTCATATACTGAGTCCACACGTTTGCATTTAGTTAAGTTGGACTATGTAGTAATACAAACAGTTCAGTTTGTCAGGTGCATGCAACATTTATGACATTGTTGGTCAGTCCTATTTTGCTGCAATAAAAATGATTGAAGTGAGATGAACTGAAGTGAGGAAAACATGTTGACACCGTTTTCCTTTGGGGACATAATTTGAAGTTGAAAAAAGTAATAAATGGCAATGCTCAGAATATCGCAGTATTGTGATATCGTATGGTGACCTAAGTATCGTGATAATATCGTATCGCTGGACCTCTGGCGATTCCCACCCCTACTATTTATAGCCCATAAAAATCGGACCAATGAGAGAACAGTTTGCTCGCGCATGGCGTTTGTTTACAAGATAAAAAACACAAAAAGACAAAACTTCCTGCACTATGCCTTTGAAAAGGTAACTGCCATACACCAGAAGATTGGCCAGATTAGCCACATCTGTAGGCTCGTCTACTTGCAGAGAGTAAAACTCACTCTTCTTCACGCAACCGACTAATGTAGCCAGGATGTCTTCGGACAAAGCATCGATGCGGCGCCCCACAGTGTTGTTGGACACCGGGATCACGACCAACTTTTTTGCTTCTCTCTCTCCAATCATACATTCCACCATCTCTTTGGCAGCTGGCAAGCACATGTCTTCGGCGATTGTGTGAGGTAGCCCCTTTCTTGCTATTCTGTGACCAGATATGTAGCCCATAGTGCGTTTTTTGTAGACCCAACACATGAATGAGACTGCAGTTGTTTTGGGCTGTTTTGTAACTCCTCCAATTTCGATATAAAAAATGTAAGGGGCTTTTGACTTGCACTGGCATGTTTGGTGTTCAGGTGGCGACGTAAATAAGAGGGCTTCAGACAGCTGTTAGCCAGAACCTCACAGAACTGTCTCATAAAAATTACGTTCCCCCAAAACTAAAATGCATTCTCAATTACGTTTGACCAAAAATGTATTTTCTCCCCGATTACGTTTGTGTTTGACTTATTACATTGACTTATTACAAATACGTTTCTAATCAACATTTTAACACTAACATATTTTTCCCTCTCCACCACCGCCTCTCCTTCTCCCTATTACGCGGTCAGAATACTACCACAACACGCCGCCTGTCTCCGGCAGAAATGCGCTCATCCAGGCCGAGCAACGAGGAACATTACGCGGCTACAATACCTCCACAAAGGCCCGCGTGTAAAATCCGGGAGTAACCGTGACTCTCTTAAGGGTTAGGTTTGGGTGGGGACGTGGCTTCCTAGTGGAAGTTATGGTTAGATGGATACAAATAAATAAAATATACCTCCATAACACCCCGCCACTCTCGGCTCATACCTCCCCAGCAACGAGGCACATCACCCGGCCACAATACCTCCAGAATGTCCCCGGGGTTAAATCCGGGACTTGGTTTTATGGTTCCGAGTGGCGGGCGCTCACCTGTTGGCGCCGGACGAGAGGTCTCCAGCCGCCCCCGCCGTGAGGCACCCCATCGTCAGGTCTGTCAGCCCTCGGAACAGGCCGCGGGGCAACAACTTGTGGGTGGCGGGGGTAGAGGCGAGGCAGATCACAGAAAAATAATAAAGACTAGAGTATGGCAAAGATATGTTGATGAGAAACGTATTTGTAATACGTCAAACACAAACGTAATCAGGGAGAAAATACGTTTATGGTCAAACGTAATTGTGAATGCATTTTAGTTTTGGAGGAACGTAACTTTTAGGAGACAGGGCTGCACCATTAGACCACCATTACATTTTTCCTCTCGCGCACCCCCAATAGGCAGCTTTGGGAATCCCTGCCTTAAAGTATAACAGAGTTTAGAGGGTTGGTGAAAGAGGATGAAAAAGAAAAGAAAGGGGGGAGAAAGGCCTCAGAACAGTAGAATAAACAAAATGCGGATGAGAAAACAAAGTAGAGCCTCCATCTTCATTACTTCTATATTTTTGTAGTTTATTCTCTCCTGAGTAGTGAAGTTTGGATGTATTCAGGGTCGGGTAAAGTCTGACATAAAGGTCTCCCCACAAATTAGGGTACCCTGAGCCTCCAAGATAAAGAACTCTGCCAATACATTTCCATTTAGATCCTGAAGGAGCTTAAACATTCAAGAAAGTAACCAAAACACCCTCCAGATATCCCTGGAACAGTACAAATGTCTATATGTCTACATTTTATTTACTGGTAATCAACATTGCTACCCGACTCTTAGAACCCCACATGGTCCCATTCTGCCAGAACGCTGCTCCTCTTTATTGGATTTCCCAGACCATCGACATAATGAGTTACTTGAATTGACTTGAGACTGTCTTTAAGTATATGAAATCCCCTGCAGGCCTTCATATAAATCATGTCCTACACACCTGGTGATACAAGGGCACAAACATAATCAATAACTAAATAATGAACCCAATCCCAAATACCAACATTGACTTCTAATATGAAGGCCAGAGTACATATCAAGTGCTTTCTGACCAATCGTTACAAACAGCTTTCATAGTCTGCTATGGAAAATGGCGCTCCTCTGACCTGCAGCTTTGAGCTAGTTAAGTTAACATGTGCATGTTCAATAAGACCCGCGATGGTGAGATGTACGCCTGATCGTTAACTAGTGGTCCATTCAGACGGTCTGAAGGGAATTCTACCATAATAATAATTAAAGCTGCGAGCAGCATTGATCGGGCCCTCGCAACTTCACGCACGTCGAGGGTACTAGCAGGACTCTGGCCATGCATTTCTGTGACCGTCATACACTGCGTGCACAAGTTAAACGGTATTTGCTGGTACTGGCAGGACTCTCGGTGACGCGGCTATGAATTTCTGTGACCATCACACTCTGTGCACGAGTGAGATATTTCCTGCGTAGACCAGCAGCGTAGCAAGATCATGTTGCCAGGTCTTAAGCCTCAAATGTTTTGAGTGTACATCCGATACAATCATACATGTAAGCCTTTAAAGATCATTAAGAAAATTAATGTGTGTGAATGTGCTTCAGTGTTTGTAACATAACAGACTGTCAGTTTACTGGGATGGGTTCAACTCCCTGCAGTGTCCTGCTGATTGTATTTGGACTTACATGAAAGTTAACAAAACAGTAGTGCCATTTGCTGTTACTTGAACACTTTAATTTAACACTGTTTTCATTTTAAGTTCTTCTGTAACTTTAGAATGTAGTGTGAAGCATTAATTGTAACGTTTAACCTGATTGTCATGAAGAAGCTCTCGACAGATCATTTATACTAATGCCCACTGACATGGTTTGAAAATCCACTGTTATCTAACTTTTGCTCTCCAAGCATCTTAGTTTGCACATATTTAGATCAGAGAAGTATTTTTCTCATGGTGTGCCCACAAACCCTTTCAATAAGTTCATTGTTTGGGCCGCTGTAATTATACAATCCTGCTTACGTCTGTGCTTATCAGTAGGTGGCGCTATGACTATGAGTTAATATTGGCATGCAGAAGTCCTAAAGCCATGACAGTCAACAAGCATGTCAAGTTTGGGACAGTTTTGAGAAAGTACATTCGAGTTACAACAGCTTGATGGATGATGGCGAACCATGTAAAATGCCCATCACACCATATCCACGTCGTTCGATGAAACCTAAAGCTTTTACTAACTTTTAATCGCCACGGTCTTTAGATTGTTCTGACCAAATTCTAAGCTGATCGGATTAATTCCCAAGGAGAAGTTCGTTAAAGTGTAGCGCCTGGAAATGACAAAAACGACACTAGAAATTCATAAATTCAAAATGGCTGACTTCCGGTTGGGTTTAGAGCATGGTCCCAAGAGACTTTATTTTAAGTCCACATGTGATACATGTGCCTACCAAATTTTATAAATCTATGTGAAACATACAGCAAGGGCTGCTTCGTTGAAATTTTGTAGGGGGCGCTATTGAGCCGATTTGCCACTCTGAAACAATAAAATCATATTCTATAACTACAATTCGGGCTTGTAATCTGCTTGTCCAGTTTGCTTATGTTTCGAGCATTTTTAGCCTCTCAAAATTACCTTCGTTGTTAATGGCGAAGACTGCATCGCCACGACAACGGTGTTCGATGAAACATCAAAAGCTTCATGAACTGGCATTATCAACTTCTTATATTTGTGTGGAACTAATTTGATATCGAGTTTTACCTACCAAGTGAAACAAGCCAAAGTATAAAGACTAACTTCCTGTTACCAGTAGGTGGCGCTATGACTATGATTCAAAATTGGCCTGCAGATATCTTCAGGACTGGAGTCTAATCAAACATGTGAAATCTGGTAAAGATCTGATGATGTGGAGTCGAGTTACATCAGTTTATTTCTTCATGGCGAAGGATCGAAATTCGCCGAGCTGCCACGTCGCCGCCCTTCGACAACTTCTTACAATCTTCACAATGAAGCATTATCAAGGTCTTAAGGCTGTTCCGACAACATTTTAGAGGGATCTGATTAATCTGTGGAGCAGGATGTCAAAGTACACAACTTACAACTTACAGTTGCCACTAGGTGGCGCTATTACTATGATTCTAAATTATCATATAGATGTGTTCCGGGTCAGGATGTTATGACATATGAGAGATTTGGAGCAGATTAGACAATATATGGCCGAGTTACAACAACTTCCTGTTTCGCGGCGAATGGTGTTTTTTTTGACGCCACGGATACATAGTTCGATAACTTTTTGATCTTTGAGTAACTTTTCACTGCCAAGGTCTCAAGAGCATACTGACCAAATCTGAAGTCAATCGGGTTAAATCTCTAGGAGGAGTTCGTTAAAGTACGACGCCTTGAAACTGTCCAAAAACGTCATAACAGTCAAAATGGCCGACTTCCTGTTTGGTTTAGAGAAAAATTCCAAGAGAATTTTTTTGTACGTCCCATCACGATCCACATACCTACCAAATTTCATACAGCTAGGTGAAACCCGGTGTTGGGGCTACTCAATAGGGGGCGCTATCGAGCCAATATTTCATACCGCAGCTGGACACCCCAGACTGCAATTTTCGCAAATTCTGGCTTGCGTGCCAAATTTCACAAAATTCCCAGTATCGCAAGCACCTCCTTTTTGCGACGAAACACGTAAAATAATAATAAACAATAGGTCCTCTGCTCCGACTACGTCGGTGCTCGGGCCCTAACAATAACTTTATTTATATAGCATCTTTAATCAGATGAGCAGATTGCAGGGCTGGAGGCTACAGCAGACAAAAGGACTTTCTTCTTGTAATATTACAGCTCTTCCCCTGAAAATATTGCGACATTATTTACAACTTCTCAGAGAACACAGACTTTTTGTACAAAGAGTTTTTTAAATAAGCAGACATTTTTTCTGAAGCACATATTAAAGTTCAGGTGGTTGTAAATTAATTCAAATAAATTGATGCTTCATTGAGGTTCATAGGTGCCACATGCACATTTAAAGAGGTTACTTCCCCAAACAAAAGACACAGAACAGGAAGGGGAAGTATCATGTATATGTTTGTTGGCTCAGCAGTCATAAGATAAATACTTAAATGCAATTCAGAATGCCTGAGAGCCTTACTGGATTATATTCCATTATATTTAGGGTTCTAACCCCAAAGGATAGTTCCAAACATAGAAGGGTAGAAACCTATATTTGCTGATCCTGAGCTAGAAAGAGACTTAGACCAATAACTGGAACTGATGTGCATAATTATGCTTCTAAAAAAGTATTACCCTTCTCGGCCACATGATTGTGCTGTTGTGAATGCCAAAAAAATGCCTTTGTTTTAATACCTCTGTTTGCTACCCAATTTTCTGAGATTCGCTATTGGAATAACATTGTTAAAATGTATCAAAATATTGTGGATCTCTTATTTAATTTTTAAGATATTGACCAATGAACTTCAAAAGGGCATGGCTCATCACAAAAGTAGACCAAAGTCAAAATCTCAGTCTTTCCGATTACTTTTGCAGCCAATTATATAATAATAATACTAATAATAATACTAATAATAATAATAATAATACTAATAATACTAATAATAATAATAACAACAACAACAAGCATATTCTGGTGATTAGCCTATATTGTAATTGATGGGACCTGGATAATGGATAGTTGACCCTATGGGTTAAGGTCAGCCCTGTCAATAACATACGTCTCACCTGACTTTGTGAGAGTGGACTCATCAGGGGGCCACTGCTGGTCCTCGATGGTGGTCAGCTTCAGCTGTCCTAGCTGTGCAGTCGCAGGGTCTTCACCCAATTCTACCAGCAGCTCTGAAGACATCACACCCACTGTGGAAGGACGCTACACTCACCCACTCACACCGAAGTCTCTCTCACACACAAAGCTGTGTCTACCACGGAGCAGCAGCCAGAGTCCTGCAAGAGACAGAGACAGCCGAGGTCAGCTGGGCAGAAACTATTGATTATCATGAAAGTACGATAATCAGTTAGACAGTGTGGCAGACAGCGTTGTGTGCTACTCATATACTGAGATACTATATTCTATATTGATCTGATCATTGTAGTTTAGATTCTAATGTTTAGCTGCGAACTAATTTCGCATGTATATGTTGTTAATTGCATTACTTAAAAGGGCCGGATCCTTTAAAACACAACTGAATGTACGGTGAGATACGTTGGGTTAGTGAAAACATATGTATTCTTGTTATTGATACATGTACACTGACCCTTACGTGTCTTATTTGTTTCAGGTCTGATACTGTGAAGTCTGGTGCCCACAACCTGCAGTTTGATCTCTTTGTTTTTCTTCAGTTGAGAGGAAATTCAAATATTGTTGCTTGAAACCGACTTGTGCTGCGTTTCTATAGAGAGTCCCATGCGAGCCGCCATGTTGGCCCATTGTTTTGCCCTTCAGAGATCATCGTGCATGTCACCCGACAGAAAACTATGAACACTGCAGCAATGCAAATTTGCGAAAGTTGGAACACTTGTCCAATAAAAGGTGCGAATAGATTTGTGCAACCAGCAGGATCCTTTGACCCAGAGCAGCGTCCGGCAGTCTGTCTGAGCTACTGGAAGATATTTTCTTGAGTTTCCTTCTAACCAAATGCTTTGAGTGAATCAGAGTTCCCTCTGGTAAACAGTTCATCAGTAAGTACATCTAGGGCATTTATTGTGAAAGGTAATAAATGTGTGCTGCCTCTGTCATGATGAAAAGTAAAAAGCTTTTGTACTACTGAGCCTCCGTCTTTGTACAATAAATTGTGTTGAATGTCTGTTGCACACATGATTGGTTTATGCCTCTATTCGCAGTGCAAAAGCTAAGAAAATTGACCTCACTTGAGAAATAAATGTCGCTTTTTTTAAAAGACTTAAGGGCAGACATGAAACAGGGTTTCGTAATTAGGATACAAATGAGTGTATTCCGTTACTGTTCCAGGTACATACGACGTAATCAGATTACTGAAACATTTAGTAAAAATGGAGATTATAGCAGGATTACAATTTGAAGATACATTTTAAAATATAGAATGACGGTTGTCACACAAAGGCCTCTAACGTTTGTAAAAATGAGTGCTGGGCAACGATTAACATTCTTAATCGCAGGATTTTTTTGAGATTAATCGCATTGTTATGACAAAGTTCAATAATGAAGTAGTGTATTGCGCACTTCTATTTTGAAAGTACTGCTATATGAACAAAAGTGCAGTAACATTTGGTTTGCAAACACTTTAAACAAATCAGGTTGTTAACAGCAGTATTCCCTTTACACAGTAGCAGTTCTATCTCTTCACTATCTGTGCTCAGTGTGCTGACTGTATGTGAAACGTTCCACTGCTGTGCAACAGGAACATGTTTCATCTAAATGTGTCTTGTGTCTTCATGACAGTCAGAGCATGTGAATGCAGCTCTACTGTTCATCACTATAATGCTGTAACTCAGAGGTGATGATGGTGACCCAGCGATGTCCAGTAGTCTCCAGTGAGAGCAGCAGCTGCTGCACGTTGTAACGCCGTCGCTTTAGTCGTCCTCTCCTTTAATACAAATCGTGTATTCTTCTTGTGACGGTGCGTCTTGAGGCTCATACGTGACGTCATTCGTTGCGATCCTAAAGGCTCGTTCACACCAAACGCGACGCGAACGCACCTTGAGAACGTTCCTCAGAACGACATCTTCCACAACACTAACCGGCTGCAGTTTGTCTCCACTTCTCTGTAGCATTTGTTAGCTTTGCTTTTGTTTATCTATACTTCTCCCACACGCTGCATCAACGTAGTCTGCTGAAGACTTCCTCCACCGCTGCCAGTGAGCAACGCACTTTCAAAATAATAATAAAAAATAAAAAAACACGTTAACTTGCCCAGCACTAGTAAAAATACTTTCTTCATTATTATGTACATAAAGCAAAAACAGGGAACAACGTCACTTCACTTTTTTGGTCCAGCAAACTGGACAAATGTTGGTTAATCTACTTTCATTTACATGAGTACTGCTGCTGCTTCAAGTTCAAATCCAGCAACTGTCCTATGCCAAATTATTGGATGATTATTGATTTTCACAGCAGGAAGGCAGAACTGGAACTGTAGCGTGATGATGTTCCCCTTCTCTGCTTAACATACAAAACAATGCCTACATTTCAGGTTCTTTTCTTTTCTTTATTTGCATGGTTGGTATTGAGGCAATCCAAAAGAAACGAAGAAAGTTATCACATTACTTTTAAAAAGGTGCAAGATCTGAGATTGGGAGCATGTTAAATTGCCTCTCAATGACTCTTAACATGTTGAAGATGGGCCGGCAGCTCACAGCTAACAGCTCATTACTAACAGTACAAACTACAGCAAAAGTGCTGCCCCCTAACCGCCATGACAGCAGAGCTAAGGGCACGCTCACATGCACTAACATGCACTAGAAGGCTAGCCACTATGTGAACAAAGAGAGGAGAAGCTGTGATAAGAAGCTCTTCATTCTCTGCTCAGGTAGACAGTACTACATATCTTTTAGGGGTGGGGGAAAAAAAAATAAAAAATCGATACAGCATAGTATCGCGATATTTTGCCCCGTTTCTTGGAGGGGGGGGGGGGGGGGGGGGGGGGGGGGTGGG